AATGTAACAAGACCAAAGATATTGATAATGACTAAATTCTATGGAGCATTTAATATATGCCATGCACTTTCGTTTCTGCTATGCACTTCACATGTATCTGATTCTCACAAATTTCTAACACATAGGTAATTATATCATGTATATGTTAGAAGAAAGAAAACTAAACCTGAGTTTGAAATAATGTCTTAAAATGAAATACGGTAACGAAATATTTGAGCCTATTTTTTCATAAGCTATATGTATAGTCATACAATTTCAAGTAACACAAACATTATTATTTCTTTATATAATTTGCAGACTGATTTTCTTAAAAGGGAATGATCAATTTTATACGTATTCTATCTTTTTAAAGAGAGAAAAGAGCCGGGCGTGGTGGTGCACGCCTGTAATCCCAGCACTCCAGAGGTTGAAGCAGGAGGACCATTCCAAGTTCGAGACCAGCCTGGGCTACAAGGTGTATTCAACACTAGCCTGAACTGCATAGAGAAACCCTGTCTCAAAAAGACAAATAAATAAACAAACAAACAAACAGAGAAAAGAAACATTTCCCAAAAAATAGTAACAGGGAAAAAACAGCCAATAAAGCACAGTAACTGCAATTCTACTTTTGTATTTACATGCATTTAACATTTTTTACTTCCACGAGGATACCCTTATGTCAAGAATTATTAATCTTTCTTGAAATAATACATCCTTTTACTCTGTCCCCAACTCTGCTCCCAATATAACCTTCTTGCTTCAAAGGGTCTTACTGATAACATGTTACTAAAAGACCAATATATCACCTCCAAAAATTAAGCAATATAGTGATTTTGACATCATGTATCACAATTTATTAATTTGGCTAACAGATTGAAGCATTTCACCAGAGTTCTTTATAAACTGTACACGAGCTGAAAGGTTATTACACAAAACTCTAATATGAAGCCAATTTACCTTGATGAAAAATATTAAAACCTAATATTCAATGTTAAGTAAGAGTAAATCTAATCTCAATGAACCTAACCAGTTCTATTTTCTCTGGGAATAAACTACTGAGAGAAGAAAAAGTTCTTATTTACACATTTAATAAATCTACTTTTAAAGAGACTTTTGCACAGAATATTACTTACAATAATAATGTCTGAAATGACTATCAGTTCTGTAGCTGAGATATTGTCCAAACTAATGACACTGAGATACACCAAGTAATCTCTCAAGATCATTCTCAAACTAGTATGCTGGGCTTCATTCCTTAACCTGAAAAATTTACTCCCACGACAGAAACTAGTTAGTTTCTGGACTACCAATTCCTTTAACAATGCTATTGCAATGATAAACTATTTAATGATAAAAACCAGAAGCACATACAAATGAAGTTACCTCAAAAAGTGAACACATGCTTACACAATTTCCATAAACTCAGCAAAACCATCTTAGCTCACAATGTATAAAATCTACTTAAATCTTCTGACGTACTGTACTCATTTTACCTCTTCCAGAAGGGGATGATACATTAAAACTGGATTACACTAATGGCAGTTAGGTTTGTCAACTTGACTGACTTGGAGACGTGCTGAGGGGGTTGGAGGAGAACAATTCTCGGCATTTCTGGGTGGGTCAAGGAGCTGTGACACTGAACACCACACGTGGCCCTAGCCTCACCCTCTCCGGCCCTCTGTTCTGCTTCCCAGGCGGTATGAAGTGAGCAGCTGTGCGCCACTATGCCTTTCTACCACGACATGCCTGCCTTCGAACAGCCAACCAGGACTGAAACTCCTGAAGCAAGAGCCAGGTGAGCCCTCCCCTTTAACCTGTGGGTGCTGGGCACTGCGTCCAGCAGTGGAAAGCTGACAAATGCAACACTTAAGAAGAAATAATGTTCTATTTTCCTGGGCAAGCTAGCTTCTCATTTACTATGACTTCATTCCTAGTTTCATTCAACTTCTGAACATGACTTTGTATACTGGCCCTAGTTCCCACAAGTTAACAGACATTATTCTCTAGAATGACACTTATAACGTGTTATACTTAGACCAATTCTAAGACATTAAAAATGATTAAACAATAACAGATTTTGAGAAAATTATAAAATGAAGTTGTTCTCTCCTGCTTTAATAAAAATGTAGAAAGTTATCTAACAATGAGAAAGTTAATTGTATTCATACTTATTATAAATATTGGATGTCCTATTATCCCAAAGAATGAAAAAAACTACAGTTGATCTTAGCCAAAAGGCCAAGAAGCAACAGAGAAACAGAGATAATTAAGAAGGTCTGAAAAAAAAAAAGAAAAATAAAAAAAGAAGGCCTGAATTCAAGTCAAACTAAGTGTTTTAATCTCAGCTTCATTCTTCTCACTTATGAGTGGAAATAATAACACTGCTAGAATTAATTTATGGGCCTTTTATTTGTTTTTGTTTTTGTTTTTGTTTTTTTACTATTTTCTTTTTTTTTGGTACTGGGAATCAAATTCAGGGCCTTGAACTTGCCAGGCAGGCACTGTGCCACTGAGCTACATCTCCAGCCCTAGAATTAACCAGCCCTAGAATTAATTTATAAGCTATTATGAGACTGACTAAACTAGTTTAAATGAAAACAATCTGCATACTATAAAGCACTACATAAGTGTTATCAGGTACTGATTATTAAATAAATATTATCAGCATATTTTAGAACATAACGGATGAAGAAAATAACCTAAAGTATCTTCAGAGGAAAAATAAGACACAAATGACTAGCAACCAGACTCATGCCAGACTACTTAAAAGCACAAAGGCAGAAGACTGGCTATATTTTCAAACTTGTGACGGAAAATTATTCTACAGTTAGGAATTGTTAATCCTAACAAAACTAACAACCTGGGAGTAAAAAGAAATATACAGCCAAGTGCAGAAATACACAGCTCTAACCTCAGAATATATGCAAAAAGTACCCCCGGAGATACGCAGTGTACAGCCTAGAAAGTCACAGCTAACAATTTGATGTCTGCTATTCTTTTTTTTTTTTTTTTGGTACCGGGAAGCAAACTCGGGACCTTGCACTTGCCAGGCAGGCGCTTGAGCCACTAAGCTATATCCCCAGCCCCTACCCCCCTGCTATTCTTTAGGTAGTAGATACTCAACAAATATTGTTGATAGTTGTGACATATTGCAGGGATACAGATTTGAAAGGCTGAAGGTGGAAGATCACTTGAACCTAGGAGTTACTACAGGCCAGCCTAGGTAACATAGTGAGACTCCATCTCAAAAAAGTAAAGATACTGTCAAACATAAAAGATCTCAAAAATATTTACCTTCTCTATATCCTATTTTAGGGAAATACAGAAGGCTTTCAGTAAAATGAGTAAGACAGGGGCAGTGGGGAGAGACAGATGATACTGCAAAAGAAAATGCAAACAGGGGAAATAAGCCCCAAGAGAGCAATTATGCAATAAGCCTGCTAAGCCTAAAAAACTTCATCAAGTTGGAAGTGGGAAATGATTATTTGATGTCTTACACTGTACTGCAAGAAGTTTTAGAGTTTTAGTGATAACACATAAAAACATAAGAAAACAGCCAGGGATGGTGGCACAGGCCTACAATCCTAGCACCTGGGAGGCCAGGTGCCAGGACAAGAGGATGGCAAGTTCAAGGCCAAAAACGTCCCCCACAGGAGCCTGATGAGTGGTAGTAAATGATACTGGAATAGGCAAGTTCGGGGGGAAACTCAGAAGTTCTGCCTCAGAAGGTTATGCCTCAGCTGCCTTGCTGGGGAGTACAACAGGTGCGTCAAGTCATGTTCTCAGAACCATCACACAGGAAGCATCATTTGCAAGAATGTATGTGTCGGGGCTGGGGATGTAGCTCAGTGGCACAGCACCTGCCTGGCAAGTGCAAGGTCATGAGTTCGACTCCTGGTACTGGAAAGAAAAAAAAAAAAGAATGTACGTGTCATGGTTTGTGTCTGGATGTCCCCCCAAAGTCTCATGTAGTCATGGGGTGGCCTTCTAGAGGTTTTGACTGATCTATGGCCCAATGCTGGGATTTGGGGTGTGACTGCTACACCCACTCTGGGGCAGGTAGTTTGCACACAATGTGAGGGAGGGAAAGAGGCTGTTTGCTGCTGCTCCTCCCTTTTGCTCGTGCTGCTTTTGCTGCTTTTGACCACTATGAACTGTTGCCCTCTGTCACATGCCATCCTCCCTTGGAGCCAGCCCAGGAACTGTGAGCTAAATAAATCTTCCCTACCTTAATTATGGGCATCAGATATTTTGTCTCAGCAACAAGAGAAAAGTAACCAAGACAGTACGCAAGACGAAACCCTGAAGCTGTGCCTTGTGTAGCCTGGGAAGTCACAGCTAACAACTTGGCATCTCCTGCTCTCTAGGCAGGAGAGACTCAAAACATACTGTTGGGGACATACTGCAGGCACACAGCTTTGATTCATGTGAGACATTACATGCACTAGTAATTACTATTTGAGGAATGACAGTAATTAAAAATGAGTTGAAATGTTTTAACTTAACAGAGCAGAGGTTAAATGCTAGCCACCACCACAGTAAATGTGGTGCTCAGCAATGCCTAAACCACTCTCTCCCTTGGTTTACTCACCTTTAAAATAAAGGTAACATCTACTCCAAACTATTAGGTTAAAACAAGATAATGAATGAAGGCAAATGACATTATACTTGACACACAGTAAGTTTCACGGGCTGGGGATGTAGCTCAGCGGCACAGCGCCTGCCTAGCAAGCGTGAGGTCATGAGTTCAATCCCCGGCACCAAATAAATAAATAAATAAGTAAAGTTTTATGACAGTTATTAACAGAATTATGCATTAAGAAATAGAATATACTGGCAAGCGCAAGGTCGTGAGTTCGGTTCCTGGTACCGGAGAAAAACCAAAAAACCAAAAAAAAAAAAAAAAGAAATAGAATATATAAAAAGGCTACATTGGTTTTTGGAGCATTTCATTCTAGTTCTACTTATTAAAGTACATAGTATCTTACCTTAAAATTTTCAAAGAAATTAAAATCCCTTACCTATAAGTAGTGTTTGGTACATAGACATCCCGAGCAGGAAACTCTAAAATTTCCCGGGTAGGTCTAACTCTGCTGTCAGGGTACAGCTTCACTTGAAGCAGTTCCGGGGTCAGGCAATAATGGGGATTTTCAGGAGCAGGAGAAATGTCTATCTTCAGCTGAGCTGCATATTAAAGCATATTACAAAATAATGTAAACACAATAAATAAAGAGTCCAGAATTGCTACAGTTTGGATATGAAGTGTCCCTCAGAGACCCATGTGCTAAATGCCTGGCTGCCAGCCTGTGGCCCTACCAAAACTGGTGCAACCTTAGTAGGTGGAACCCAGTGGGCGAAGTGAGGTCACGATGACTGGCCTTGGAGGGGACATGTGGAACCTAGCCTCTTTCTCCCTCTCTTTGCTTCCCAATAGCCAAGAGGTGGGAAGCTCTGCTCTGCCAGGTGCTTCCCAGCCTGATGTCCTGCCTCACACCAAGGGCCCAAAAGCAATTCAATCACATGGCCCCAACCCAAAATTTAACCCTCTGAAACTGTGAGCCAAGAAAGATCTTTCCTTGTTTGAAGCTGATTTTTCTCAGCTAACCTGTCACAGTGACAGAATGCTGACTAAAACATAACAAAAATGTCTTTGAAAAAATGTAGACCCTATTTTGCAATAAGTCTGGGCATAATACACAGAAACCAAAAGACTATCATTTCAGACCTCAAAATCATTTCATTTTACCAAGTTTCAAACTTAAAAATGCTCATATACACATAAATGCACATAAAATAACTGCTTGCTGAATGAATGGGAAAGAGTAAAGGATGTCAAAAAGGAGGAACAAACAGAGAAAGGAATCTGGCATTGCAACTAGCCAACATTTAAAGGTTAAATGTTTTAATTTTGGCTTGGCAGGCTTCAAACTAATTTAACTCTGAAATGATTTGCTCTAAAAATAGTATGAATATGTTTCTAACATCTACCATTGCACATACATTTTTCCCTCTAGAAAATAATTTTAAGCCACAATATTATTCATCATTGTCATTATACAACCCAAATTACCAAAGGTGTTGAATCCTGCATCCAAACAGACTACTCAATAATGAACAAGATGGAAAAAAAATAGTAAGATGAAGAAGACTGACAGATACTAAGCACAGAAAAATATATGAGCCAGATAAGTGAAAAAGAAGGAATGCACACTTATAGGCAATACAATACATTAGTGATGACAACAGAGTAATCACATCTACTCAAAAATGCAAAATACCTGTAATAGGTCTCAGTCGCCGCAAGACAGAAGATGGCCTTCTCATATCGGCAAGGAATTTGTACAGATCTTCATCACTTAAGCGGTCACCTTCCTGATTTCAATGACAGAGAAAAAAAGATTTGATAAAACAACTATAGTAGGTGGGAACTGAAGTTATATTGTCTGCTCATAAGCATGCACTTCTGCTACAGTGCAAACAGAATAAAGATTAGTGTGAGTCCAAATATCCTTATTTATTTCCTATTCTTTAGTACTTTCAAATTTTATTAGGATTTTTGATACTATTTTTATTTTTATATATATATACATATATATATATTCCACTATTTATGCCCAAAAAGTACTATATAATAACGTAAGATATAGAAAACCATACAAGGTAGAGACAGATAAAAAAGGAAAGCAAAAGTAAGAATATGGACATAAAAGAAAATTTAAAAATAAGATAAAAAGGCAGGACAATGTAAAAATAAATGAGTCATAAAATCATTACACTTGAGTTTATATTTGTCTTTTCAACTTTACATGTCACCTAATCCTCAAATGCAAAAATCTACCAATGGCTAAATTTTTTTAAAAAGAGCCCATTAAGAAAAAAAAACAAAAAAAACCTACTGTTAAGGAAAAGCACAACTGTCCAACCACTAAGACCAAAAAGCAAAGCAAGACAACTCCAAAATGGCCTCAAGTCCATGAGGGAAGAGACAAGAACCAAGAAAAAAAAATAATAATCTTATTAAGAAATACTAATTTTTCAATTTAATATTAATATTTTAATTAAAATAACTAAGTTGATTTTCTTTTATTGAAGAGCAAATCTTTAATCCAATCTACCTGCCTCTGACATTTTATTGCCATATTTGAGTATTTCCTACAGGGTCCTTTTAGTTGATAATGAACATAGTTCAGATACTTTTTTGTTGTTACGAATGTAGCCTGAGCCATATCCCATTTGTTCATTATACTGCTCTAAACAAAACAGAATAGATCTTCTTTTGGCTGGGGATTTAGTTCAGTGGCACAGCGCCTGCCTGGCAAGTGCAAGGTTGTGAGTTCGATTCCCAGCACCAGAAAAAAAACAAAACAAAACAAAAAAAGAATAGATCTTCTTTCATTCTATTATTAGGGGAAATGAGTTTTGTTTTGCTTTATTTTTGAGACAGGGTCTCACTAGTCAGTTTATGCTGACCTTAAACCCACTGTGTAGCCCAGGGTACCCTCAAACTCACAGGGATCCTCCTGCCTCAGCATCCTGAGTGCTAGGATTATGTATAGGCATGCACCAGCACACCCAGTGCAGAAGTGATTTTTAATTTCTAAATGGCTATAGTTTTCTGTTGTACCTTTAAAATGATTTTTTTCTTAATTGCAGAGAGAGATTTTGGAAGAGAATTTTTTTCAGTGACCGTATGTGATTAATTACTGTAAATGTTCCATCTGCTGCTGAAACAGTATATTCTCTTCCTCTGGGTACAGAACTAATACAGATCTTAAACAGTCCTTATCCATAATGCTTTCATTACCTCTGATTTAATCATTTGCATTTCTTCAACCTATTAAATTACTATTGGTCACCACTCTTTATGCCTAATTTCCTTGCCTTTTGCTGGGTGGAAGGTACTATTTCCTCCCTTAGGCATGGCCATAAGCAAACAGGATGGAGACTAGGGAAGCATTTGCACAACTAAATTCTGCCGCTGCTATGAGAACAGGACCCAGCTGACCCACCAGCACCTGACAGCAGGTGGCAGCCAATGAACCGAGCTGAATCATCTCAGTCTTCCCAGCAAATAGCAATCTGGAACCACGGGGAGAAGGCTGGTTAATGAAGAGGCCTAGTGGACACTCTCCTCTGTGCTGCTTGTATACTGCTACACACTCCTGAAGCACCAGATAATAGCTAGCAACATACAGAATAAATGCATTTCAAACTACCAGATGGGCTTGATTTTGTTGTAAAATCTTCACATATTCCTAACAGTTTTGGCATAACATATTTCAAATCACTACACACTCATGTTTACTGTCCATCACTCATGTTTATTGTCCATCCCAACCATGGACAATAATCTTTCCTACATTAAAGGGGGGGACTGTTCTTTGGTATCTCATTTAGGGGAAATTTGTGCAAGGAATTCTACCTTATTAAAATTGTACTCTCTGCTTTTTAATTTGCATTTGTGCTAAAAATACTTATAAAAATAGTACATGATCACGACTAAAAATAATTTTAATACAGAACTGTAGAAAGGAAACTGCAAATGCTTTCCACTGTTCCATGTTTATGCCGGTCACGTATTTTTAAGTTTTCATAAGCACTTTTTGCTAATCTGCAGTCACCAGTATTCCAGTGTCCGCTGTGCAGTGCTACACAGTAGGGTAATACAGGTAACAACAGTATCTTGTACATTTAAAAAAAAAAAATCTACAAAAAGCTAGGCATGGTGGTGCACACCTGTAATTCCAGTACTTGGAAGGAAGGAAGTTCACAAGTTCGAGGCCAGCTTGGGCTATATAGCAAGTTCAAGCCCAGTATGAACAAGCAAGACCATTTCTTAAGCAAAAAAAATAAAAAGCTAAGACAGTATAATGAAAGTTTTCACAATAAAGAAATGATAAATGTTTGAATATATACACATTTAAACATTACACAATATATACATGTAACAATACACAAGTTGCCCCACTAACATACAATTTTTATGTCTTTTATATTTTAGTTAAAAAATAAACTCAATTTAAATTTAAAAAGTGTCACATGATGAATTCTCAAAAATTATTTGCTGGATAAATAAGAGGAGGTGGGAAGCTTGTCAATTTAAGTTTACAGATGATACAATGATAAATAGGCTGAAGATGTGAACAGAAACCGGTGTGCATGCCGTAGAAGCAACACAGCAGCTGAAGGAGGAGAGAGAGAACTGTGGCATCTGCAAGGCTGTGTTATGTGTCATGGTATTGGGTACATCTGCTGCCGCGTCCCATACATGCATTTGCCCTCTCACTTCATCCAAGTAACACTCACAGTGGCTTCCTCTAGACTACTCTGATGACTGTGCATCACAGAAGATCCCTACCACTTGGGATCTTACCACATTAAGAGTCTCTCTGAGAGGCTGCCTATGAACACGAGTGATACATAACAGTAAAGAGGCTCACAGCGCATTTTCCCTTGCCCTCTCAAGTTGTAAGGTGCCAATAAGCCACGATTTCTTCTTAATCAGAGTAACACTCAGAAGCAGGCAATCTGAAATAATTCTTAGCATTTCCCTTTAATCTGCTCCAAAATACTCCAGTTTATTTCACCAATGCAACTTTTCTCCCCATTCTAATATCATTCTTATGACAAAGACTTGAAATTTTCAGATCTTAACTCACAGTACAAAATCCTTCGTACACCAAAATTCAGTGTGTACATAACTTACACTCATCCAGAAACCAAGGCTTGAAGGCAGCCAAGGAGGCACAGAGAGGGGAGCTCTCTCAAGCAATATTTCCTCTTAGTTCATGTGCCACACAGTATTTTTTCTATTCTATCTTTCATCTTGAGCGGGATGTTCTCTCCAAAACTGGCTTCCACTACCACTCATGGGTGACGACTGGCATTGGAGGAACACTGATTTGATGTGAAGTGGATGAACACCGACTGCATTTCGAAACAGAAATGTACTACAAAGGCCTAAAAAGTTCTATTTCAAAAACCACATATGGTAGTTTTGAGTCAGAAAAACTTCACTGCAGAAGACAGATAAAAACACAAACTCTCAATAAGGAAATCCAGACACTATCCACATTTAAGAAAAGCTACACTATCAGCATTGAGAATAAGATACAGGTATGAAAGATTAACTTTGATGTATTAGTAATATCAAGATCAACATTTTTAAAAAACAGGATAAAACAACATGTACAATATAATGTTAATTATTTCTTACTCTCCCGCTCCCCCGACTCCAAGCACTGGGGGTGGGACCCAGGACCTTACACACGGTAGGCAAGCACATTACCACTAAGAGACATATTCAGTCGTTTTCATTTTTTATTTTGAAATATGGTCTCACTAACTTGCCTTAAAGTGGTGATCTTTCTGCCTTGGTCCCCCGAGTTGCTGGGATTACATGTACATGCCAAAATTATGTCTTATTGTTATGGTTTTTACTTTTGTTAAGGTTCTCAAAATAATACTCATGTACAATACACTTACTACCCTTCTGAAACCCCAAGAAACTTATTTACAAATATGTCCCCAGAATTCCTACATGACAGAACAATACCTGCTTAAAAAAATTGGTCACTGTGAGCGTGGCAGGGCGAAAGCTGGTCAAGTTGCAAGCGTCATCTCCACTTGTCGTTCTCTCAAGCGATCGCCGGCCAACAATACTAGAATTCCTCCTCTCTGACCAGGACCCCTTCCGTTCTACAAGAAGAGCAAAAGGAAAATACTCATCTTCATGAAGTTAAAATCTACCTACAGCATCTTTCCAAACACCGTGACAATTACATGCCCAGCATGTTGATTATAGTAGAAAAACTTCACTTTGCAAAGAAGTTACCAGAAGAAAGAGAGAGAAAAGGAGGCAGGAGAGAGGCCTCTAGCACTATTACACAGGACGGTTAGAGACGAAAGTGAACTGCCCTAAGGTCAGGAATAAGACAAGTACATCCACTCTTGCCAGGAGAATCATAACTTTGATCCCAGCCTTGGTCAACTTATCAAGACCCCATGTCAAAAAATATTTTAAAAGGTAGGCGGCAGTGCTGGAGATATAGCTCAGTGCAAAGGCTCTGGGGTTTTTTCTTTAATACTGCAACTAAAAGAAGAAGAAGATAGAAGAGGAAGAGGAGAGAAGGGGATCAGGAGAAAGAAGAGAAGGGAGACGGAGGCGAAGAAAAGAACTAGTAGAAGAGAAGGAAAAAGAGGTTGTTGTTGGACCTTTACCTAACACTACGTGCAAAAATTAATTAAAAATGGGTAAGAGCTAAAACAACACAGCTCTTCAAAGAAAATGCAAGTAGTTCTTGATCTTGGGTGAAGTAATAATTTCTTAGATATATCAAAAACCATAGCAACAAACTAAAATAAGTCTCCTTACATTAACAGTTTCTTAGATATTCACAAAAAGCACAGCAACAAAATTTCAATCTCTGTAGTATAAATAACACTATCAAGAACAGAAAACCCCAAATAGAAGAAAATATTTTCAAATCACATTTTAGATAAGGGTATCTGTATCCAGACATATAAAGCATGTATTCAACTCTAACACAAGAAAATAACTCTTTTTAAAATCAAGCATCAATGAAATAATAAAAAGACAACAAAGCCATTAAAAATAGGCAAAGAATGTGAATACAAATTTCTCTAAAGATGACACAGAAACTGCCACTACACACAAGATGATGTTTAACATCACTAGCTATCAAGAAAGGCAGATCCAAACTACAATGAGATACCCCTTTACCTGTGCTAGAATGGCTATCATCAACAGAACTAATAAGTACTAGCAAAGATATGGAGAAACTGGAATTTTCATATAATGCTCCAATTTTTGAAAATGTGGTGGTATTGGAAGATAGTCCGGCAGTTCCTCAAAAAGTTGAACAGAAAATTACTATATGATCCACCAATTTCACTTCTAGTGATACAGTTAGGGGAAATAACATATGTCCACACAAAAGTTTGTACATCAATGTTCACTGAAGTATAATTCACTGTAACTAAACTGTAGAAACAACCCAGATGACATCAACCAATGAGCAGATAAATAAAAAACAGTATTGTAATCCAATGGACTGTCATTTTGAGAATAAAAAGAAATCCAATATTGGTACATGACAGGACATGGATGAACCTTTTGAAAACAATATGATAAGTGAAAAAGCTAGCCATGGAAGACCACATGTTATATAGAATTCTATGTGTAGGACATGTCTGGCAGAGGCAAATCCATAAAGACAGAAAATAAATTAGTAGTCATTTAGGGCTACATCTGGAATTTGGAGGGAATGAGGACTGACTGTTCTAAATCCAAGTGTAGTAGTGGCTGCAGAACACCATGAATATAGCATAACCATTATACTGCACCCTCTAAAAGGGTGAACTACATGGTAAGTGAATTATATTTCAAAAAAGTGAGAAAGGCAAAAAAAATCCTTTTTATGCCACACCACATTAGAGTCCAAAAATGTAACAAGCCTATAAAAGACAAAAGGAAAAAATACACACTTAGAAATGTTTTCTACTAAGCATTCTTACCGCCAGTACTGATTTCTACTTCAGTAGAGTCTCTTTCTAAACTGCCAGCACTGCTAACAATGTTCATTAAATGGATTGCGGTCCAAGCAAATGGCATGCGATATTTCCCAAGTCTCTGGCAAAACTGATCCGCTTGACTTTTCAGCTTCTCCAATTTTTCCTTATTCTGCAAAACAGAACCTTACACATGATTACACTTGAAAGAAAACAAATATTATTCCATACTATTTAAAGTGACAGGTTAAGAGTTCTCAATTCTCAGCAGAGAAGGAAAACTAATGTGTCTTTCAGAGATCAGGTAATAATCTATCATCTTAATAAAAAAAATCTCCATTCATTCTACAAATGTGTAGATAAGGAAGTCTCTGAAATCTGTTTGTGATTATGTCATTTTGGGGAAAAAAGAAAAGACAAAAAACATCAACCATGTTTATGTATTGCAAGTGTTACCTTAGGAAAGGTACCAGAGCTGTAGTCTAGTCAGCCAACTGCCAGCTATAATATATTCTAGGTTAGGACTTGTTAAATTGTGTCCTTCTATATAAAATGGAAGTGGTTGATCTAATCTGAAAGTAGTCTTATCTGATGTCAACCATGAGGTTGGAGTGGAGAGAAGATACAAACAGATCAGTGATAAACAGGTCCAGAGTTGTAATAGAAGGAACAGAGAAGTATTATACAAGGACTAAACACTGGGTAATAATTAATGGTCCAAGACATCTCCATGTTGGACCAAGTTTTTGGCCTCTCTGAAAACAACCAGCAAGGTGGCCTGCAAGAGCCAAATAACACTCTAAGACCAAAAGCCCATCTCTTACATACGCTTTCTAAGTAGGATGTGGATAAGGAACACTCTAATGACAATATCCTACCTTGAGACTTGGCTGGGAAAAGATGGAAAGCTAGCTAAATGGTAACAATGTTTACAGCTGTCGGCAACTGCATCTCCAAAAGAGGCTCCTGTTTTAAGAGCTTATATATCAAGTACATATACTCAAATCCATCAGTGTAAATTTATGCATGTCAAAGTTTAAAGAAAAATGGGATAAGTTGGTATATAATATGTTCATATGTAGGAGTGCTATGTAATAGAGCAAACTGAGTTTGTAAAATGACAACCTAAAAAAAGCCACAATTCTTCAACACAGAGGTCAACCAAACAGCCAAGGATCAGAGAGACTCTCAGGAGCTCACATTTACCTACCTTAGCAGTAAAAGCTCAGATCTTATTTTGAATATCAGAAAAATAGGAAGCAAAACATTTTCTAGATTTTGGTGGCTTTTCCAGCATTCCTCAAGCATTCTTCTGCTAGTCGTTATAATATTAAATCTTATGTGTAACACTCCAAGGATCACTTCTATTGTTGTAGCTAACTCAAAGTATATAGAATTTGGTATCAATTATTCAACAATTAGTTTTTGAAATTTTATGCAAATTCTATAAATGAGTCATCTGATGGCAAAACAGAGATTATATTTTCTATTTTTACTATATTTCTTAATTTGTTGCAGTCAGGTGGAAGTAAGAATATTTTTTTGCTAGCAAAAGTTCCATCAATATTACTATTCTGTAAATAAAGGAAATTTTAACTATTTAATAGTTAAACTAAATTAACTTAGTCTCATTTAAGAAAAAAAAATTTTAACAAATCAATTAGTTTTGCAGTGGGAGAGATTTTAAAATAGCACAGTTCGTGACAAAAGCTGTATGGCAAAAAAAAAAAAAGAAAAGAAAAAGGAAGAAAGGAGACAGGCCAAAAGAAAAAGTGAATGAAATTCTTTTACATGCTTTGTATGTTTTCTTGGAAATTACAACAATAATAATATAGAAGAACGAGAGTATGACATTCTACCTTGGTGGCATCAGCTTCTTTGAAAATCATGTATGGTTCTGCACACTCTCCAATGTCTCCTTGCTGTAGGACTTTTTCTAGCTGTCAAATGCAAAAATGTAAATATTAATTATACTTTAAAAAACCAGTAAACCTGAAATGTAAGGATGGTTCAATATATTAAAGCCAATGTGATATACTACACAATAACAAAATGACAAGGGAGGGGAATGATTATCTCAACTGCAGAAAAAGCACCAAAGAGAAACTTAAATTTAGAGCTAAAATTATAAAACTCCTAAAAAAAAAAAAAAAAAACCTTTAGAAAAAGCCTCATGACATTGGATTTGGAAATAATTTCTTCAGTAGGACACCAAAACTACAGGCAATATAAGTAAAAACAGATAAACTCAACTTCATTAAAACTTACATTTACTATATCAAAGGACAAAATAAAATGAAAGGGCATCCTACAGAATGGAGAAAATATCTACAGAGTATGTATCTGACTAGACATTAGTATCTAGAAAGCATAAAGAACTCCTACAGCAACAAACAAAACAATTTTATTAACAAATGGCAAAAGAACTGAACAGGTATGTTTTAAAAGAAGTTACACAAATGGCCAACAAGCTTACAAAATTAAGTTCAGAATTACAAATCAATAGAGAAATTAAAATCATAACCACAATGACAGCAATCAACACGGGCATTATTAAAAAAAAAACAAAACAAGGGGCTGGGGATTTAGCTCAGTGGCACAGTGCCTGCCTGGCAAGCGCAAGGTCGTGAGTCCGGTTCCCAGTACTGGAAAAGAAACCAAATCACAATTTAAAAAAGACAACTCAGAAAATAATATTCTTTAATGGCTAACTACAACTGTGTTCCACTTATATTTTTTTTTCTTTTTTTTTTTTTTGTACTTCACTTATTCCAAATTTTTGACTTTTTTTGAGGGGGTGGTACAGGGAATCGAACTCAAGACCTTGCACTTCCCAGGCAGGGGCTTGTGCCACTGGGCTATATCCTCAGCCCAAATTTCACATTTTTTTTCAAAAGTATGTAAACTAGGAGTAAAATCCAGCACTTGAATCAAGTATATGAAGAAATCCAGCTCATATTAAAATTGGTATTTCAAATTAATTAACAGAGGACACATAAAAAATTTAATTGGATGTGATTACGCAGGTATATATTCATGCATATAAACTTTCACATATACGTATTTACTGAATGGAAAACTCAGAATCTGCATACTTCATATATATTACACTAAAAATCACTACCATGTTAAAAATGAGGTAACAATCAGAACAGGCACCTCACAAAACAGAATACCCAGCCGGGCATGGTGGCTCGTGCCTGTAATCCCAGGACTTGGGAGGCTAAGGCAGGAGGATCACTGTGAGCTCGAGGCCAGCCTTGGCCACAAAGTGAGTTCAAGGCCAGCCTAAAGTGCAAAGCGAAACCTTGTCTCAAAAAGACAACAAAAAAGAATATCCAAATGGCCAATAAATTATGCAACAGTCTTAGCCATTACAAAATTGTAAATTAAAACCAAACAGACATAACCTCACAAACGCACCAGAAATATAAGAAAATTAAAAGATTAAATAAAATAAAATCTGATGATTAAAAGTACTAAGAAGGAAATGCAGCAACTAAAATTCTCAAACACTGCTGATGAGAGTATATACTGGACTAATGTTAGAAAACTACCTGTTTCTACTGTGATTAATTTCTAAATACTGTCCTATAACCCAGGAATTCAATCCCTATCCATATACTCAATAGAAATACAAACATATTTGGGCCAAAAAATCACACGGAAGAATGTTTGTGGTGACATTACTTACAATAGCTAAAAGCAGCAGAGATAATACACTAAAAGAACCCAGGCATAAAAAACGGCATGTGGTACAATTGTATCATATGAAATTCAAGAAAAAATGTTGAGTGATGGTGGCAGAAGTTAGGATACTAGCTATCTGGTGAAAGGGAGGGCAGTCGTGAAAGCGAAATGACAGCTCTCTAAGGTGCTGGCCAGAGATATATATAGATGTGTAACTTGGGCTCAGCACTGATTACACTGGTAAATATTCGGTCAAGACTTCATCAAGCCATCTACCTCAAATATGTGTATTTTACAGCTCTCTTTATATGTACTTTATATTTCAATTAAGATTTTAATGAATGTGGGGGCTGGGGATTTAGCTCAGCGGCACAGCGCCTGCCTGGCAAGCACAAGGTCGTGAGTTAGATTCCCAGTACCGGAAACAAAACAAAACAAAACAACAACAACAAAAAGATTTTAGTAAATGTGAAGTGTGAACAACTAAAACTTGTATTCACCACTGAGGAAGATGCAATTATCAGAGACTTTAGAAATATGTGTGGCAGCATCCACCAGAGCTGACGTGCAAACACCCTGTGACTCAATAATTCTCTTCCTAGGAATACAATAAACAAGTGAGTACAAACATCAACTTTATGGACTGCAGATGTTTACAGAATTACGAACAAAGAATTCAAATGAACCAGAACATCTATCACCAGTAAAATGAACAAATGGGTTTATAAGATAATATGAAGCGATGAAAACGAATTTTAACACTGTTGCACAAAATAAAAAGGACTAATCACATAGTCATGCTGAATGGAAAAAAGGAAGACAGCAGTATTTGACTCTGCAACAACAACTCTGCAACTCAAAAGCAGACCCAAGTGTGGAGGACAGGGCGCAGGCGAAGCAGGGCGCAGGGCAGTCTTGGAGTCTGCTCGTGTCACTTAACTAGCTAGCTGGTCATGCAAGTGTGTTGTAGGACAATTAGTCGAACTACAAATTTATAGCTTCTATAATTCCTTCTATAATCATGTCATACCATTTTAAGTGAACTTTGTGAAAATTACCTTGTTGTAATCCACACTTTTTATTTGGGGTTTTCTTTCAATGTGCTTCATATTTTTGTCCTCCAAAATATTAGGTATACACACACAAAAAAATCTACACATAGTTGTATAACCCTTTCATATACTTACCAGAAAGTAAGGATACTAATAAAGAGGGCACAAAAATAAGCAAGGACTTAATAAGCCCGGCCAACCAGAATCCCAATAGTTCCAGTGACGGTGAACCTTCTAGAGCTTTCAATGGTAAAAGAGCCCTCTATAGCACGCGTGCCAGGGGTTTGCCACCACTTTCCCGGACTATGAGATTCTGCTATTAAACCCAATTTCTCACCCTTCCTTTATCCTTCCCTCTGCTACACAACACTGTAACTTCTCCCAGCGCTGACTTTTTAACCTTATGAAGAGACCAAGTGGACAATCCAATTTCAAGGGATGCAAGATTGCAACCTGTTATGTGACCTGTTGTTAGCGGATGAGATGTGACCAAAGACTTGAAAAGCACCTACAAAACTGAGCCCACTCCTTGGTGCTTCTGCAGTAGCCATTAGAACACGCCAGCCTAACCTGCTAGGAAAGAACACACAAAAGAACGCCTCCTGCCACACCAGCTGATCCCCCAAGCAACCTGCAGACACTGGAAGGACAAAGGTCTGAAGAGAGTACAACCTGAACTGGCTGAGCAAAGTAAATCAGTGCTAGTGCTGGGGCTCTGTGGGATGCTGCCTTCCTGTTCTTGGGGTGACTCAATAGGTATGACAAGGGGATTTTCTCTCAAGAAACAAAAACATCATGATGGGCAATAAATGAAAGAAAATTTGGATCTGAGTTCGTTTACAGGTACCAAAAAGAGGGGAAGGGAGGGGAGAGAAGAAGAAAAGAAAAAAGACAAGAAAATTTCCTAAATGTATTTCCTTTAAAATTTCATTTGTTTGTTCTTTTTTTTTGAAATTATGGAAAATTATATACATATTTATGTGTGTATACGAGAATGCATATAAAATGCATACACACATCTATCTGTGTATTATACACTTGGAATCATATGACAGCTTGAACCAGACTTATTCACAGATATTCTCACATTTCTATAATTTTTTTTTCCAAATTGTAGCTTTAACGGCCATAGTACATCATATGTGTGCACAATGACTTAACTCTCTATCTCCTTATGTTGATTTATACACAACAGTTTTTTAAAATTCCTAATCCTATCTAGGCTATTCATTGTCAAGATGACAAGCCAGACTTGTCACTAATCTCATTCTGAAGCAACCAGTATTTCAAACATCACCTTTATCTCACCAGATCATTTCCTCTAACAGACACTGTTTTATGAAAACCTACTATTTTCCCCACATAAAATAACGGTGCACACTTGTCATCTGTATTTATTTCTAGAACTTAATTTTACTTTTCACAGTGAAGGCCGCTGCTGCTTAATCTTTGCTTGCAGGACTGTTCACTGCAATTAAGATTTATTTTAACCTGAATTCATAGGAATATGCCCACAAATTAGGACATTATTCCTGTGGGTGAAAAGGATTCATTTCATGACAATTCACTTTATAAGCTTATTATAAAATTCATTACCTCTTTGTGATAACTTTATATAAATAAAGACGGAGTGATTAAGGAATGTATTTTAGGCTACTCTCAAGTCAAGGTCAAGGCAAGATAAACCATTTTTAAGGTGCAGGAAGCCATTAGGTTTTAGGATGTCTACCACTGTTCTTAGTTAGCTAACATCCATTAACACTCCATGAACACAACCATTTAGCTGTCAGTATGTGCATGACTTAGAAACTGAGTAACAAAACTATATGACTGCTCCTGTGACTGTGAATTTTATGTGTCCACTTGACTGGGCTGTAAAGTCAAACACAAGTGTGAGCCAGGCATGGTGGTGCACACCTGCAATCCCAACACTCAAGAGGCTGGGGCAGGAGGACTGTCACAAGGTCAAGGCCAGCCTGGACTCATAGTGAGTTCAAGACCAGATGAACTACAAAGTGAGACCTTGTCTGAAAAAAAAATGTTGCTGTGAAAATATTTTTTTAGAGGTGATTAACCATTACAGCAGAAGAATTTAAAGCAGATTATTTCCCATTATGTGACTGGGCCTCACCCAATCAGCTAAGAAAGAAGAGTGAAGACTAAGTGTCCCTGAAGAAAAGGGAGCTCCTCTCAAGACTGTCACTTGAGACATTTTCCTGTGCCCTCTACCTGGACACCAGATTGCCCGGCTGCCCTACCAGCTGCAGACGTGCAAGCATCACGCTCACGTAAGGCAGCTCTGTAAACACATCCAGGGCCGCATCTCTGGAGACCATGATTCGCACACATCTCCTCTCAAGAAAGGTAGCCCCCACGGTGCATAGCCAATATCGTGTTAATGGAACATCAAGACAGGAATAACACATAAAAGTCAAATCTTTGCTCTTGACAAGTCTTCGATATTGATGTGAACAAGAATGTGGACACTATACAACAGGAACATGCATTTAACAGTATTCTCACCTTTATTACAAGAAAAACATCCTGAGAAGGATAAGTAATAGAAAAGATAGCTGATCTTGCCAGGGTAGTAATAGCAGCAGGTGGTACGTGTGGGCGTAACAATCCTTTCATCTGCTCAGAATTAAGGTCAAAATAAAAGTTTTCTGAAATCTAGAAAACACATTCATGTATTAAAATTTAAAATCTGTACTTTTAAAAAATTCACAAAAATCACCTTATCACAGCTATTAGGACATTACACTCTAGGTTACATTTAGGGTGTGTACCACTGTTCTTAGTTAGCTAACATCCATTAACACTCCATGACCACAACCATTTAGCTGTCAGTATGTGCATGACTTAGAAACTGAGTAACAAAACTGTATGACTGCTCCTGTGACGCAATCCTAGCGTAACCTAGAGTGTACCTTATATTCCACCAACATGTCTAAACCAAACAAACATACAAGCTATTCGGATATATAACCCCAAAGAATTATATCTCAAACTCCTTTGATTAAAAATATAACCTCTAATAAACTACACAAAAAAGTATCATGAGGGTGCATGACTCCAAACTTGAGTTCTTAACAAAATCTCAGCAGTTTTGATCCAACACAAGTCGCTGACACAGAGCTCCGCTGAAAACTCCGTCACATTTCACGTGCTGACAGCGGAAGTCACCAGGACACTCCCAGTCTCTATCACATCAGGCTTAAGAGTATTCAGCTACGAAGTGCTACGCAAGACAGTAGTCCTCTGAGACCCGTCGGTAATGAAAATATAACAGAGAAACTAAAAACAGTATTTAATATAGAATATTTAAAATATACATAAATCATCTTTTGGCTGGTAAGAAGTGGAAAACTATATTAATAAAATTTGTCATCATCATTTTTATCTTTTACATACTGATTACTTAAAATGCTTTTCTTGTATTGTCTTGCTCATTTTATAAATTAAAAGTTGCTTCTGAAACTCTTTCAAAGAAACAAAACCAGCTTCCAACTAAGGCATTTTACACTAAAGAAATATTTAAGTAGTTTTGATAAATTTTTATTTCCTTTCAAAAAAATCCATTTTAATAATTATCAGAAATATTACTCATCTTATAAAACAACTTAAAAACGGATTTCTGTAACCTAAGATTATAAAAAGTAACTGCAAATTACATAACTTTACCTTTTTCTTTTCCTTGACATCATATAAAGCCAAACTTGCAAAAATGGGTTCAATTTCAATCTCAAACCTTTGTGAAGAAAAAGGATAAAATAATTTAACAATATATAAAACAGATGTACCTGGTACCAACACAGGAATGTGGTCAATGGAATGGACTAGAAGAAACAGAAACAACCCCAGGCAAATATAGCTCTTTGACCTTTCACAAAGGAGCTAGAAACATACACTGCTGGAAAGACAGCATCTTTATTTTTTATTTTTTTTTTTTTTTAGCATCTTTAATAAATACTGTACTGGAAAACTTGGAAACCCACATGTAGAAGATTGAGTCTAGATCCACATATGTCACCAAGTGCTAAACTAAAATCAAAATAGATTAAAGATCTAAATGTTAAAATACAAACACTTAATCTGCTAGAAGATAAAACAGGTGTAATTCTTGAAGATACAGGCATAGGCACAGACTTACTGAACAGAACTCCAATGGCACAAGAAATAATAAGAATTAACAAATGGGATCTTATCAGATTAAAAATTTTTACACAGCAAAGGAAACAACCAACAGAGTGAAGAGAAAATCTATAGAACAAGAAAAATTTCTGCCAGCTATTCCACAGATAGAAGACTAACATCAAGAATATATAAAACTTAAAAAAAAAAATTAGACTCCCCCCTCTAAATAGAAGAGACCCAATCTAAAAAAAGGGCAACCAAAAAATGAACAGACACTTCTCAGAAGTAGTATAAACGCCCAAGAAATACATGAAAAAATGCTCATTGTGACCAGCCACCAGAGAAACGCAAATAAAAACTATGAGGTACCATTTTGTCCCAAAAAGAATAGGTATCATTACAAAAAAATCTAATAATAACAAATGCTGGTGAGGATATGGGGGGAAAGGAACTTTACTACATTGCTGGGGGTAATGTAAACTAGGACCACCACTATGAAAATCAGGGTGGACATTTCTCAAAAGCTGAAAGTAGATACTGCACTTGACTCAGCTATCTCCCTCAAGGGTACCTTCCCAAAAGAGTTTTAAAAACATCATACACCAGGGATACATGTATACCCATGCTTACAGCAGCATAATTTGTAATAGCTAGATCTTGGAAACAACATATATATCCACCCACAGACATATGGATGAAGAAAATGTTATTTATACACAACAAGTACCATGCTGCCATAGAGAAAAAATAATCTTGAGGCATTTGTAAGTAAATGGATGCAACTTGAGAATGTACTGTTAAGCCAGATACACAAACTCAAATTCTGCATGGTTTTTCTTGGAGACACACCACACGTATGTGGGCACACATGCACAAATAATGAAAATAGAAGAAAGATAAATAGGAAGCAGGGAGTTCAAATATTTCCCCAAATTACATATTCTATGGTTCTCAAAGTATCTCCATATATATGCTGATTTGTTTCATTTATTCTAATAGTTTATCTTAGCTGAAAAGAAAGTGTGTTATTATGTTTCTTTTTTGTAAGAATCTTTCTGGTTTATGTCTTATACTGAGTAGCTACTTTGAAGATAATGACAGATAGTATAATAACTACTGTTATTACTATTTGATTATGAAAATTTTTTATTTTTTTACAAAATGGAAAAAAAGACATAGCTAGAGAAAAATTCTGATTCCAAAACTAAATATTGTCAATATCTTGCATTTTTCTACATACCCATCTTTGCCTATATTACCTTCTTCCTAAAATCCACTTTCCCATGCATATCTTCAACAGTCTACCATTCTCTCCTCTAATCCTACTTAATTTCTCCAGCTACAACTAATCTCAAGCTTCCTAAAAGCCTCACAACAGTTTAGGTCTCTTTTGTGGCACTTATCACTTCTTAGTCTGTACTTTGATTATTTACATATATGTATTTGTTCATTCTTTAAATAAACTTTAAAAATAAAGACCTACTGTTTTCAGATTATAAATCATATATTCAGTGCAAAAAACATTCAGGGGAAAATCCAAAATTCTACCTTGTGGAAAGAACCTCAATTAATGGTTTAGTGTCTAAAACATTTAGACTTTTCTCTGTGTACAAATGTGTTCTTTGAAGATATCAATATGTAATACAACAAGCATTGTTAATTTCCTACTACTTTGTAACTCTATTGTCTGTACTGTTCTTTTGCTATTTTGTAAAAGGCCGTCTGTCTGTTAATGTTTTCCTCCTTTTATTTTTAAAATAAAAAAAAACAAGTGTGTTGAAAACTTTTAAACAAAAAGTGTTTACATTATACATAATATCTGGTAGTCTTTTTAAACAACATTTTATAGACAAATTTCCATGTCATAAATATTATAGATTTTAATGCTGACATGATTTCCATTTTATGAACATGTCAAAATTTATTTTATACCTTCACGCTTAAGTTGAGATGTTTAATTATGACTTACATATAGTAAATGTAGTATTATTGACTAAAATAATACATAAGATAAACTAAAAAAATAAAAAAAGATAAACTAAGACTCTAGAGCACTGGTTCTCACCCAAGGTCAATTCTTCACCCAAGAGGACATCTATATAAAGACATTTCTGCTTGTCACAACTGCAGCAGTAGCACTGGCATTCAGCAAGTAGAGAAGCTGTGATCTGACTAAACCTCCTCCACTGTGCAGCACAGTTTCTGAAAACAAAAAACTACCCAATGTCACCAGCGCTGAAGTGATGGTAACCCCGGCTCTATATTGCTTGCTTCTGAATTCTAAGCGTATTGTTCAGGGTTTTGTAGGAGACAGCATATTTCCACTGGGCTGAGACTCTGACAAAGGTCATCAACAAAGATGTAGACAGAAATCCAACAACATGGAATTACCATCCCACAGAAGAGCATTAGCAGAAAGCATCACCAACCTCAGACTGAGAGAGAACATGTAAGTGTAACCAAAAAAGAGAAATAGTGGAATAGAAGACCCTTCACAGAAGCTGTAGCCTTAGAGAAAAGGAGGAAACAATCAAAGTTCATCAGGAAAGGAGGAATGGAAACGAACACTCGACCTGATTTCACTCTTATCTACCCTGTAAGTTCCTGCTAATCCAATGAAGAGCCAAACAGAAGAGATCTTGTTGATGTGCTTGGTATCTGTCCATCTCTGAAAAACTTCTGAATCTTCTATGGCATCTGATGCTGTTGCTCCAGGTAAGTAATGGGATTGCATTGGACTTTTGAATACACAACTTCTCAGACATTTGTACTGACCATTTGCACATCCTCTTTTGACCATTTTCTATTTATTATAAAGACTTTCCATCAGTGAGTATGTATTCTAGATATCAGCACATAAATATCTGTATTGGAAATATTGTTTCCTCCTCCATGGTTTGCCTTTAATTGCGTGTGTGTGTGTGTGTGTGTGTGTGTGTGTGTATGTGTGTTGGATGAACGAAAGTCATCAATTTTTGTTTGTTTGTTTGTTTTTTTACGGTACCAGGAATTGAACTCACGACCTCGCGCTTGCCAGGCAGGCGCTGTGCTGCTGAGCTAAATCCCCAGCCCGAAAGTTGTCAATTTTAAACAAGTAAAATGTATCAATGTTTTTCCTCTAGGTGGAGAGTTTTCTGAACCATGTTATAGAATCTTTCTACAAATTAGTGAAGATGTCCTGACACTGTCTTCTAGAAATTTCACTGTTTTGTCTTTCAGATTTAAGTCTACTGTCAACCCATGAATAATATTTTGGATTCGATGTGATGTAGTGGTCAAGTTTCCTTGACATGCACACACACGTTTGGAGAGTCAGAAATACAGAGACTGACAGAAGGTGACAGAAGTCCTCTAAACTTTACTGTGATAAAAGCTGCACAAATCTGTGAACATTATAAACCTAACTAACTGTATACAGGGTGCTATGGTTTTTATCTAGATGTCCCCCCAAGCCGCAGGCACTGATAGGTGGAGCTTCTAGGAGGCGGCTGGATCATGGGGGCATGATACTCAGTGATGAGTCCACTGCTGAGTTCACAGCCTGTTGGAGGAAGTGGTCACTGGGAGCCTGGCCTTCCACAGTCCTCCCCTATCTTTCTCTCTTCCTCCTGACTGCCCTGCCATAAGTGAGGCATCTCTCCTCTGCCAGGCCCCTTCTGCTATGCCATCCTGTGATACAGCCAACCAACTGTGGACTGAAAGTTCTACAAACTGTGAGCCAAAGTAAATGTCTCCTCCTTTAATTTTCAGGTGTTGGGTATTGTGTCTCAGAAAGAAAGTATCTAAGACAGATTTGAATTCACAGGTGAACTGAACACTGGATATACACTAAGTAAACTGCATAATATGGGAATTAAAGCTCAATAAAGCTTTTTTTAAAAAAAACTGGAAACACCTCAAATGTTCATCAACTGATATACAGATAAACAAACATGGTATAGCACACAGAGGGACACTGTTTAGCTATACTAGGAATGATTTCTATCTATCTATCTATCTATGACATACTATGTAAAGAAACCAAACACAAAAGTCACACGCTGTATAATTCTGTCTACTTAAGTATCTAGGTAGGTGCACCCATAGAACTAGAAAGCAAGTTAGTCACTGCCACAGGTTAGGGGGAAAGAAAGCAGAGGTAACTGCTAATGATTACTGTTGTGAACTGAACTGTGTCCTCCTAAAATTCTTACACTAGAGTCCTAACTCTTAATGTAGCTATATTTGGTGATATGACCTGTAAGGAAGTAATTAAGTTAAATGAAGTTCTAAAGGTGAGACACCAATTCCATGGAATCAGTATCTTTCTAAGAGAGGAGACACCAGAGTCTTCTCTTTTTTATTAACATAGAGCAGAAAAACCGTATGAGGACATACAGAGAAGGCAATTATCTCTAAGCCAGGAAAAAAGACCTCAGCCGAAGCCAACTCACTGGCACCATGACATTTAACTTCCAGCTTCAGATCTGTGAGAAGTGAACTTGTGCTGTGTAAGCCACACAGTGCATGGTGTTCTGATACAGAGCACAAGCAAACTAGTACAGGTACTGTTTTCTCCACAACAAGGAATATGCTCTAGAAATGGACTGCGGTGATAGCTGCAGAGCACTGTAAGTACATACTACCAACCTGTACGTTTTTAAAAGGTGAACTTTGTGATACACAAAAGCTGTTAAGAAAACAAAAAAAGTTATAAGCATAATATGCGTGCAGATGCTGTATGAACTGAATTTTCTCTTAAGTTGGAACTAATAATTGATAATATTAATATGTTATAATGACAAAACAATATGGTTTTCAGTTATTGGTTCTATAACACTGACTGTGCCAGTTAACCTTTGCTAATCCTTTTGAGTCTAGGTATCCTCATTTGCAAAATGAAGAAAACAGTATCTACCTTATAAAATTACTCTGAAGATAGCACGAAGTAAAGAGAAAGTACTTCACAAAGCAGAGTGTAAATACAAGATAAATTACCTCAACGTGAGAAATCACTTATTAAAGGAGAAAAAAATACTCAAAATCTTGTTAAAAAACATAAAGCCTACATTGTAACGAATATAAAATCAACTTTTTAGGGCAAAAGATACTTCATCTTTATATTCCCCAAATAAGAATAGTGGCAAATAATTTCAGTGCATGTTTTTTCCAGGTTTATAAACTAATTACAGCCAAGCCAAAGAGCTACCTTCACTCGTGCACCAAAAATGTCCTAAAGCTTACCTTCATTAGTAACTCTGAATGCTGAGTAGCATTTAAAATGATATACAGAAAAAGACTTCTCAAAAGGACACAGATGCAAGTATAAAATCTACTTAGGTTTTGTTGTACAAGTAGTCAAAATATCCTAGGAAAATAATTATATACTAAAAGAAGTAAATACTCACTTGAGTGATAAACATTTTACAAGAAGTCTTTGACCAAAATGCTCTCTGGGTACATCAGGAACACTAAGGCGCTCTATGGGTTCTTCCTACAAAGTGAGAAGCAACACTAAAATGAACATATTTATCATATTTTAACACTTTACAATTTATCTTTTTAAGAACTTATTTTACTAATTAGTATTATTAGTCTTCACAATTAAACACAGAAAAGAATGACCTATTTTTCCATAAACAGACATCAGTGGATCATAGGTATGCTCAATTCATAAAAGTTATTAATAAATTCACTAGTACAAAAATATTTCATTTTCAAAATTTATATTTACAGTTTATTTCCAATATTATTACACTATGTATCAGTGATAGTGTGCCTTTTCTTTTAGATCTTTAAATGACACAAAGAACCTGTTACAGCACACATTCCATAGGTTCACCACCACTGCTATCCATAAATCATAGTACCAAAATGTCTATCTCAATAATCAGCAGCTTCTTTATATACAGACAACTATACCTCATCTGGCGATGGGTGCAAAGCAAAGAGTTCCTTGTGGCGATTTGATTTCCTCTGGTCATCATTCTGACGGTCTATTTCTTCATTTGGAGTTCGATCAAGTAAATTAGGAAGCAAAGCATCAGGCAGCGAATTTTTCAAGTCGAAGATGCTGCAGGCCCAGCTTCCCCTTGGAGTATCATCTATTGACATTGAACGTCTTTTAAGATCATCCTGTCATGCAAAACATTAAATATGAATGTACTAATAATTAACTAAATAACTAACTACTTAAAATACTTCTTAGAGTCATTTACGAATAAAAGTATTACTTGCTCATCCTGGTAGTTGTTGCCATCTGGAGCTTCATCAGATTCGAAGACCTGTTTTGGCAAACCTCTTTGTCTTTCTTTCTGCTTATCTAATGTATTGGGATTAAATCCTGTCCCCAGTTTATGATATCTATTCAAAATAAAATAGTTAAATAAATACCAATTTTTAAAACTTTTTCAGCATCATCCTATAATAAGGCAAACATTCTCTACATTATTCTTCACATAATAACAGTCCATTCTATCAGTCTTCAATATGTTAAATATTTAACCAGAGAAAATTTAACAAATTTGTATTTAAATTCCTTTAACCCAACTGCAAAGCAGATAATGGGTTTCTAGAATTAACTATATTTTCCTTCTTTCCATGCCATTTGTATATAACTTAAGCTGTAGTTTCAATTCAGAGAATGGGTCAGTAAAAACAAAACAGGAAGCCAAATTAAAGAATAAAATGAAAAAGTGTATTATCATTAATAATATAAATTTTTTAAATGTAAAAATATAAATCAGTGAATTTAGAAGTTGTGATATATCTCATGCAAGCTACAAACTCCTAAAATAAAAACCAACAAAATCTATACAACATCCTACACACACTGTTAGGGTTTGTATCTTGATGTCCCCCCAAGCCCCACGGGCCCCCTGGATCGTGGATGCACAGGATCAGAGCTCAGGGATCGCAGGGGCACAACGCTCACTACTGAGTAAGTCCAGCGAGCAGTGTATAGCTAAAGGTGATGCTGAGAAGTGGAGCCTGGTCAGAAGAGGGGGCCACCGGGGTGTGGCCTGAAGGGTCCGTCTCCCCTCTCTTCCCTTGATCTCTCTCTGCTTCCTGCCTACCTGGCCAATGAGCAATTCTCCCCTGCCAGGCCCCTCTGCCATGCCGTGGCGCCAGCCAACCACAGACTGAAACCTCTATAAACTGTGAGCCAAAATGAAACTTCCTTCCTCTCAACTGGGAGTGTTCAGTATTGTGTCCTGGCAGTAAGAAAGCAGCTAAAACACATATATTATTGAAATACTATTTAATTAAGTTGCTAAGTAGGACTTTTAAATTAATGTAACCTTTCCTAGTAACCTAATAAAAACCCAATACCCAAGAACATCCAATGAGAACTAATCAAAAAACAATTACTGTTCACAGTTCAACACTTTCACAGTCAAAACCAGAGAACCATCTTAGTTAGAACAAAATAAATATATTACCAGAAGATGACAGAGTTCTTGCAATCAATTCATGAAATAATAATCTATTTTATAGGCATCACTCACATTCCATCTTGTTGCTAAAGTTATTAAAATCAACAGCTTTATGATGTTAATATCACAGCATAAACACAAAATAAAACAAAGTATTCTTTTCTGAGAAAACAAAAGCAAAGGCTGAATAGAATATATTTCCCCAAAAGTAAGTTCTAACCAGAAAATAAGCTCTACCATGACTTCTCAGGAGACTCGTAATGCCCCCAAAATAAGCCCCAGTTAAGACTGTCAACCAGACAGATGCATTTAGTATGTCTATTGCAACATACAACAGATATACTGAATTATAAAATACATAAATATAAATAACAGACATTAATACTTAAATAATATCAATTATAAGTAAGTATTTATAAGTAAAGCAGGTGCCTCCAGGTGAAGGTACACGCCTGTGTAAGTGAATGAACTCCAGACTTACTGCCAAATGACCAGCCAGAGCACAGACACGAAGCACAAATAGCATACACACTTGATGATGAACGGGTCTGACCGTCTAATATGAGCCTTCGTAACACAGTGCATCCTGTGTTGTAAAGACATGCTACAAGCAGGCTACGTGGACAGGAGTGCTCACTTGAGGGCTCTACTGCTGGACATGAGGACCAACAGTTCTACAGAAAATAGAGCCGTAAGAAATTCAGACAGGAATTCCGGGTTTGGAGTCAATGCTACCCCAGAAGCAGATGACATGACTGTATCTGAATAAATGCAGATTTCTGTACATGAATGCATGTAGGTTGCTGTACATGAAAAAAATAAGACAACCCCTGAAAATAAGCCCTGCTGCATCTTCTAGAGCAAAACTTAATATAAAAACTGGTCTTATTTTTGAGAAAATATAGTTGAGTAGCATGAAAGGACACAGAAGCAGTATCTTACTCTTCCATGGTAAGTTTCAAGTGTGTAATTTATTAAATTGCACATATAAGTAGCCCTAGTAAAACAAGGGCTACTTGCATCTTATGAAAGTCAGGGCATCTGAGAAAAAATAATGATTCATAACCCACACTCTTTCCCATGTTACGACTACGGCTCCACACAATGCACACCCAGCCCCCTTTACACCATTTTTCTAACCGCATCACCTAGCACTCTCAGCCTCATTGTTCCAGCCTCATTGGACTCTGTGCCATTACTTGAACACTGACAGCATGAGTCTAACACATGGGAATGCTCTTCCCTCTGCCTGCTAACACTCCTCTCCCAGCTGGCCACAGGGCTCTCTCACTTCCTTCAGGTCTCTACTCAAAATCACCTCCTCAGTAAGGCCTTCTCTGATGACTTAGACCAAATAGAAAAGCTTGTCTCTCTTCTTGGCCCTCCACATCCCTTCACCTTGTTTTGCTCAAGATGTGTCTTTACCCCGCCTCTTATACAGGATCTGTGCCTGGTTCCTGTCCTTGATCCCATCCCCACTAAGACACAAGTAACACAAGCACCATCTGAGCAGGGGGTTGGCAGTGGACACTGCAGTGGCACCAGTGTCAAAGACAACGCCTGCTATATTTGGGATGCTCGAGAAGTATGTGTACTTTCTGTCCCTTTACCAATTTTTGCTAATTTATGAAAGAATTATCTGGCTTCATCTTATGGCTACTTCACTTCAGCCACTTCTACTCTGCCACTAAGCTATCTGCTCAGTTAGTATTTTTTTCACTGGGCATAATATTGATTTCTAGAGATAACATTTGTTTTTGTATAGATATAGTATCTTTTCACATCTCTTATAGCTAATACATAAATGTATCCATTATACTCTGGATCCTAATTTGGGCTCCACTGACCATTCCCTGAGTTGTTAATTCTTTTATTGGTAGACTGACAACTCCCTTTAAGTGCATTGGCTTTCTTCAAATACTGCCCATGGCAATTCTGTGCTCAGTGTTCCTCTCTGAATTTATACCCTCCTCATCTAGCCTGAACTGCTAATCCCAGCCCCGATCCAGTGGTTGTGGGGAAAGGACAGAGCATGCTGCCAAGCCAAGTCTGCCAGTAGCTAGTTCTGGGTATCAGGGCCTCTTCTGCTCCAGGCTATGTCCACCCCTGGACACCACCCTATCAGATGAAGCCTCCAGAATTAGTGCTCCTCAAAGGGGATAGGTATCTCTGAGGTTGCCATTGTTGTGCACACATTCTGTGGGGTTTCAGAGTAACCAAATGTCCAACTTTTGTACCAGGTCCTTTTTCCAGTGCCTGCAATCACTGCTTCCAAGCTTTTAAAACTCTACTGAAGCTTTTATATGTGTCTTCTCCATCGATCAGTCGGTACTATTCCTCTATGTTTCATTCATATCTATGTTCTATCTTTCAGAGATACTGTCAACTTCTAGCCCACCGAAAGTATCCCTTTTGTCTTCCACTTACTTGTGCAGGTAACTAATAGTCAGTATAACAGAAAAGTATCAACTTTGGAGCCTGGTGCCATGAGGTCTAATCCTAGCCACTTTACTTTTTAGTTCATAGGACATCTGAGAAGTTATTTCACTACTCTGAGTTTGAGCTACCTTACTGGTTAGAACTTTAAATGGGGTGAGTCTAAAGTCCCCAATAAAATACCCAGCATATAACTAAGTGCCCTAAAATATTATCGCCCTTACCCTCTTACCCAAAACAAGGTTAGCAAACCTATAATTAGAAGATTCCAAGATTCCATGGACAAGATATTTTACAACTCATCTCTTTATAAATATTTTTTATTACAGATTTCCAACACATATGCATAGAAGTAATGACTTAAATTAACAGAGAAACAGTTTTCTTCAGTAAAGTCTATAATCTCACTACTAAATACCAAAATTCTAAGTCAATAAAAACAGTTCTTCGGGGCTGGGGATTTAGCTCAGCGGCAAAAGCGCCTGCCTGGCAAGCGCAAGGTTGTGAGTTCGGTTCCCGGTACCGGAGAAAAAACAACAACAACAAAAAAAACACACACACACAAAAAAAAACAGTTCTTCTATATAAAGAGAAGCAAACTGTGCTTTCATTGAGCCACAATAAAACTAAAAAGCACGTTAGCACTGCCCTCTAGGATAATCTTTCGCACAATACCATGTCCAATGAAGTAAGACAGAAAGAAGCATGAAGGCAGAATAAGCAATGGATAGATCATGTTTTCTAGTCCTACTGGGCACAGATTACTTCACTTGTGAAAATATCTCATCAGAACACCCCACTACCTGTTAGTGTATGTGTCCTTTAGGAAATTAAGGTACGTGTGGAGCTTCAGTATGAAGACCCTTCTTCACTGTGCACGTTAGCAAGGGGAAAGCTTTACCCTGTGTCTTATTCTGACGTGATATCTCAGTCACAGTCCATTAGAAAAATAAATTATGTAGTAAGACAAAATAATACTTTTATTTATTTATTTATTTATTTTTTGGTTTTTCTCCGGTACCGGGAACTGAACTCACAACCTTGTGCTTGCCAGGCAGGCGCTTTTGCCGCTGAGCTAAATCCCCAGCCCCCAAAATAATACTTTTATAAATATTCACCTGATTGGATGGAAAAGGTCAAGGACTTATAAGTATTTGGATACTTAATAAAAAGCAGAAACCTTCAAAAAGCAGAATTTGGAAAATGGGCTCTTTACGTTTCACTAAACTGAAATCTTTTTGAGAAAAACAAATTATTCATCAATATCTAGCTATGATTTTCTAAAAAATGAGACTATAATATCATTATCATTATGTATTAGTTCTTAATGATTTATGATAATTCAGAAATACTGCTACACAAACCTAGTATTTTCTAAGAAAAATAAACAAATGTAATTATGGAATACCAAAGGATAAAATATCTATGTACAAGTCTTGACTATTTTGTTTAAATAAATTTTCTTTTTTTTTTGGTTTTTTTTTCCGGTACTAGGAATCGAACTCACGACCTTGCGCTTGCCAGGCAGGTGCTGTGCCGCTGAGCTAAATGCCCAGCCCCCTTAAATAAATTTTCAAGTCTCATTATTATCCATCTACCTTAATTCATTTACAAACCCCAGCCAGTATTTTTAAGTCTTAAACATACAACTTACTTTCTGATCACAATCGCCCAGTCTTCTGTATAACTTCTTATACAATCTCTAACATGTGGATCCATTTCACTATTTTAAAAAAGAAAACGTGTTTTTAATTTAGATAGGAAAACAATGATGCTTGCAAATTTGGTTGCTACAGTGTTTATTCTTATAATAGGAAAGGAGACCATCAGAAGGAATAGAACCTAGATAAAGCAATGGAAGACAGTCTTTCTATCATTACCCAAACACCACAGAGGTAATGTCTCCTTACCTTTCCTCGGGTACAGCTGAAACAAGGGTTCTGCATTCCCTAGGACTATAGACAACTTCAATATCATCTGGAGGAAATTCAATCAAATCCCTCAAAGGCCCAGAATCCACAGCTAAAGGATGAGTAATGAGGTAATCTTCCAAATCTACTGGATCTACTGCTTCAGTAAGGGGCACCTTTATAAAGAGGAGGGAGTAAAGGACAGAAAAGAAGACATGAGCCTAAGAATTATAAAACTTTACGCAAAGAAAAATAATTTTAATATAATGTGCATTTAATCTGCATCTTTCTAAACTTTCAAAAGATACTCTACCAGCTGTGCTAAAGAAACCATAAAATGTTGGCCTTACACTATTCCTTCATGCTTTTGGTCATAGTCGCTTTAACTTTCTTGCCTAGACTTTGCCTATAACTCTCACACAAAAACAACAACTATAATTAACAATTTTGTTATAGTTTTTGAAGTACTCATTCAAATGTTTTTTATATCGTTGGAATTTTTTACTGCCAAGTTGTAAACAGTGATCTAATTTTATTTGTTGCTGTTACTGAAATCTTAGTAAAATACATAACCAGACTGTGGTAGGCTAAACAATCATGCTCCAAATATTCTTCATACCGAACCCATGAGCCCTTGCTAATTTACATGGAAAATAAAGTAAAATAAAGAGTCTTAACCATATGGGTGGAATATCTGGATGGGTCAGAAGTATAATCCCATATATTCAAATAAGGACACAGAGGGAAATTTGGGCCATAGAAACAGAGAAAGAAGCCAAGTGAAAATGCAGCAGAGAGAAATGTGAAGATTCGAGCCTTAAAGATATAAGTGATAGGGCAGAAAGTCAAGGAATGACAGATGCCACCAGAACCTGAAAGAGGCAAAGAACTGGTTCTCCCCTAGAACTTCTGAAGGGGCATAGCCCTACCAAAACCTTGACTTCAGTCCAGTGATACCGATTTCAGACTTCTGGCCCTTGTAGTGAGGGAGAATAAATTTTTATGAGGGCTGGGGATATAGTTCAGTGGCACAGTGACTGCCTGGCAAGTGCAAGGTCCTGAGTTCAATTCCCAGTACCAAAAAAAAAAAAAAAAAAAAAAAAAAGAAAGAAAGAATAAATTTGTATTGTTTTAAATCATTCAAAAGGTGGTAATTTGTCATAGCAGCCATAGAAAACCAATACAAAGACCTAGAAAACCTATACAGAAAGATCTATTAGCAATAAGACTCAGCATGATATCAAGCCTGAAAATATAGGTTTTAATATAACACTGCTTGTCTAATTGAAGAAAGAAAAGATATTCAGGCAAAACTATAAAGGACATGTAATAAATATGCAGTTGTACACCATGGAAATAAAAACATGATTTCAAGATGTTCATTTGGAATAAAAACACTGAAACCTGCCTCTGTGCAGGTATGTATTAAGTAGATGGTGCCTAAATCTATGCCTCTTTGAGCTAAACAACTAATAACAGTAAAGTAACACTTTAAATATATTAAATATATTATTAAATATATTAGTTATTATTAAATATATTTACATATATTAAAAGTAAAATAATGAATGGCTACCATATCATAAACACTCAAAATTATTATCATTGTTATCTCACTTAAATTCTCTGCAAAGCCTGTTAGTCAGAGATAATTACTATTTCACTTCTATAAATAAGTGCATTTGTGCTCAAAGTACTTAAGCCATTTCTAAAAATAAAATAGCCACAAAATGGTGGAGCAGAAATTTGAAACTAAGTCTTTTAAGTTCCAAAATTCATATTATTTTCTCTCAGAAGCATTCTATCCCTCCTTCCCATACCACACTACGTTGATGTTCTGACAGTAAGAGGAAAGAACTCAATAGAAAAAGTTGTATCTTGTCAACTATGGCTATCCATATGAACAAAAAAGAACCTAACACATATTGACATAGATCATACACATAAAGAGAAATGCTTAATGTAGTTGCCAGAAGAAAGCACAGAGGGATGTCTTTACAATTTCAGAGCTTACAAAGCATTTTTAGACACAACACAGAAAGAAATAACCATAAAAGAAAATCTGATACATCAAAGACACTGTTAAGAAAATGTATAAGCAAGCGACACTAAGAAAATATGTATAAGATGTATTTGAAAAAAATGCTACCTAAAATATATAAAAAGTCCTAAATCTCAATAGTAAAAAGACAAACCACACCCTCAAGTGAACGGGAAAAAAATAAAACCAATAAGACATTTCACAAAGGAAGATACAAGAATGGCCAACAAGAGTATGAAAAAGTGCTCCACTTCCACTATCAGAAAGACACAGTAGATATACTTGTCCCACTCTTCCTACCAAGTACTAAGTACAACTGATAACCCTGGAAATTAAACATCAGGCAAACAGAAGACTCTAAAAGTGAAAAAAAAGCCTGACCGATTGGATCCTCAGAACTTAAGGAACAGAACAACAGTAAATTACCTCGAATTTCTTCTTGTCTTTTATTTTCCAGACTTGCAACCAGAGAATTCCTCAACCCAGATACATAAAAGGGGGGGTTCCCAACAGAAAGCTGATTCTTCCCAGCCAAAGAACACAAGACAGGGGTGCCCTAGCTAGCAAGTACTCTACTCCAGCCAAGCTTTGCAGGGAAAACTGGCACCAACCATACCGCAGCAGCAAAGGCCAAGGGGAAGCTAGGCTTCTACCCTCACCAAGTTGGAACAAGGCACCCAGCTCTCTTCACCAAGACAGAAAGGTCTGATAGAAAGTTAGGACTTCCACACCTACTGTGCAATGAGTGCCTCAACCCACTGCATCAGGAGAGGCCACTAGGGAATCTGGTCACCCACCTCCTATAGCAGCATTGGCTCCCCTTGCTCTTATCGCTGGGCTGTGCCACAGAAAGCTTGGTAGTCAGGATTTCCACCACTGCTGCGGGTGACAGGATGCCACGAAGACTAGTAATATGCACCACTGCCTGTCCCAGCCACATCGTGTAATGGTATCTGATGAAAGCAGAAGTGCTACTCCTGCCCAATAGTGACACCAAAAGATTATGAGTAGAAACCCGAAGACATCTAACCCACTTCCATAACAAGGGACACCCGCCCTCTACAACCAGGGAAGTCAGGGGAAGTCAGCTAGAACATGCTTCAGAAAGTTCTACACAGACTCAGAACACAAAACCATAACTGCCCAGGTGCCAAAAACAAGTTACTCATACTGAGAACAGGAAAACCTCAACTTGAATGAAAAGAGACAACCTGTAGATTTCAACATTATGAGACATAAGCATTATGTAACAAACATTTGAAAACAAATATATAAATACTTCAACAAATGATTGTAAACAAACTTAAAACATTTTAAAAAGTAGAAACTCTCAGCAAAGAACTGAAATTCTCAGTAAAGAAACGAAGTTTCAACAAATAAATAGAGAATTTAAAGAACTATCAGTAAGTAGAAAATTTAGAATTGAAAGACACAATAACAAATAAAAATTCAATTCAAAAGTACTATAGTACAATTGATGGGATAAGAGGTAAGAATCAGTGAGTTTGAAGACAGAAAAATAGAAACTGACCCAGCTGAACAGTAGAGAGAAAAGAAACAATTAAAAAAAAAAAATGTAAGGGACTGTATCTTCAAGGGAATATCTAACATTCGTATCTTGATTGTCCACACAGAGCAGGGAAAAAAGGCAGGGCTGAAAAATATCTGAAGAAATAATGGTTTTGAAAACTCTCAAATCTGACAGGCATAAGTCTATAAATTCAGGAAGCTAAGCAAATCTCAGACAAACCTGAAAAAAATATATGCCAAGATACATCACAGTCAAATTTCTGAAAACTAATACACACACACACACACACACACACACACGTACGTATGTCTTGAAAGCAACAAGGGGAAAATGATACCTCACTTTTTGGGAACAAAAATGTACAAATTATAGCAAATTTCTCATCAAAAATCTTCTCACGGATATTAAAAAAAAATGGTGTATTTTTCAAGTGCTGCAATGAAAGGACAGTTGACCTAGAATTCTAGATCCAGAAAAAATAACTTTTAAAATGAAGGGGAAATCAAAACATAATCTGAAAAACAAAAAACAAACAACTAGAGAGACTTTGTTGGCAGGCCCATCCTACCTTGAAGAGTAGCTAGGATACACTGTACTCCCTAACATAAAGGGAACACTAAAAGCCACTTGGGGACATGCTTGGTGTTCAGATCTCTTTTGAGCCTTTCTAGTGTGCCATCAAAAATTCCAGTATTTGATTACCAGCTGCTTTGGCCTAATGAAGGGGGACAATAGAACAAAAGCTAAAGGATTTTCTTTTTGAAGTGATAAAAATGTTTTAAAGTGATTATGGTCATAGTTGCACATGGGTGTATGTACTAAAATCCATGGACTTGTATACTGTAAAATGGTGAACTGTACAATTTATGACTTTATCTCAATAAATCCATTTTTTAAAAGTTGAAACCAAATCTAATCAGTTAACAAGAAATAGAGAAAATAGACAAGTCTACAAGAAAGCAATCATAAATCTAAAAAGCCATCCATTCTTTTTTTAAAACAACTGATTCAATTCCCTTAACAAGTTGATGGCATAAAAATAAAGTTGAAAGTTGGAGAAGGAAGCAACTGCTTTACTTTAAAAAAAGGAAAAAACTTCAATGAATAAATTCCACCTGTGGCTCTTGTTTAGATTCTGATATAAGTAAACCAACAGTAAAAAGACATTTATGAGACAATCAAATTTAACATTCACTGGGTAATAAATGATAAAAAATTACTGTTAATTTTGTCAAGCTAAGGGCACTGTAGTTAAATAAGAAAAAGTCAATGTGTAAACTGGTTTGAAGATTCTCAATTAAAAGTACCTTTTCAGAGACTACAGAGAAAGAAATTAAAGTCAACAAGCACTCACTATACTTCAAAGAAATTTTACTGCAAAGAAATTCTGGGGACTGGAGACTTGTGAGAAAATTAGGACAAAAAAATTCAGGATATCTTTTAAAATGGGAGAAATAACATGTTCGAATACTGGCAGGTATGATCCAGTAAATGGGAAAAAAAAGATGCTGTAACAAAGAGAAGGGAGAATTACTAAGGACTGTACTTGAGGAACTGAGAGAAGTGAACTCCTGGTTGGATAGAAAGAGAAGTAAGTCGGACTA